TAAAGAAGAGAGACGATATGCAAATTCCTGCGGAGACGAATGGGAAGCCACTTGAGCTGATTGCGATAGTGTGAGATTCGATCATATTTACGAAGGCCTTATTTACCTTTTATCTTTATAAACCCTATACATAGATTTTGCAACCGTTCAAGCTTATTTAGCAGTTCTTCAGTAGCATCTAAATGGCGGGAATCTGCATAGTCCAAGAACGGTAATATAAGAGAATGAGCTAAACAGATCTTGGTTTTAAAAGACATAAAGTTTTGGAGGCGTTTAAGCGAGTGCAAGGAGAAATGGGTTTTTCGACTGACTTCATTAATATGTGAAGTCCAAGTTAAATTACAATCCACAAGCAGACCCAGATTAGTAGCAGTAGAAGTATAGGCAATAGGCGTTGAATTATACTGTATAATTGGGACATCAATTGGGAATCAATGTCCAAAGCGCCACGTATATGCTCACTTCCCACAATCATGGCCTGCGACTTTTTGGGATTAACCAACAAGCCAAAAGACTCAGCCCAATGAGCAATGTTTCTTAAATCAGCGTTAACCGCTTCAATGGCTGCAACGACATCGGAAGTTTTAAAACTACAGTAGAGTTGCAAATCGTCAGCATAGAGATAGAAGTTTGAGGACAACACAGAAGTGACAGAGTTAACGAAAATAGAGAAGAAGAGAGGGGAAAGAACACCACATTGAGGGACACCCGCAGCTAACTCACACCAATCAGAGGAAGCCTCATCAGAGCGAACACACTGCAAGCGATCTCTGAGATAGGAATCAAACCACGCTCAAGCCGAAGGAGAAATACTAAAAGAGTGAAAAGAAGCAAGCAATAAATACATCATGGTCAACAGAGTTCTTCAACTCTGTCTAAAAAGTGCCTTCGCACTGCTGAAGTCCAGAAGTATAAGCAAAGTGAGAAGACTTTGGATAGAAAAGGACGAATGGAAATGGGACGAAACTCAAACAGGCAAGTGGGATTAGATGCTTTGGGTAAAGGCATGATATGGGCGAGTTTCCATTGAGAAGGGAAAGAACTAGATTCTAAAGAGGAGTTAAAAACATGAGTAAGGATAGGAACAAGTTCAGGGAGTATAAGGGTTATCATACGGGAGCTGAGATCATCATTGTCAACAGCAGTGGAAGAAATAGAAAGAATATGAGTTTTCACCTCCCATTCTGTAACAGTTCGAAAGGAGAAAGAAGTACTTGATGGCAAAGCACAATCAACCAGAAGACGAAGAGTGGCGTTTTTACGATGTCTATCTAAAGTAACAGGTGGTAAGGAATAATGTCTATTAAACTTCATTAAGATCGGGAAAGGACGAATCACTACAAGAAGTAGTGGAACGACCAATCCCAAAGGACTTTAAAATTTACCTATTTATACGTCCCACTTCTAGGCTCGAGTCTCTTATCAGATGAAGGTTTAGGCCATAGTTCGCCACGCTGGTTTAAGGCGGGTTGGAGACTTCACACGTTTTCCGAACTCTCTATGACTTGCAGGTTTCATCACGATGTTTTCATCAAAAGTTCATGGTAATTTTCAAATGAAATTTCGCACATAAATTCCGAAAAACTCTACGGTAACCGAATTTGAACCCACGGCCTCTGCTTGAAAGACATACCGTGAATCCTTAGTAACCTAATAGTTTGATCTAGATAGCCTCTCAAGCAGAAATAGCATAACCGAACCTGGGATTCTTAATTTACAAACTAAAGTCATCAATAAATAGACGCCATTTGCCTTTTTCACATTTCGAAATTGTTTGTATAATCAACGATCGATTGTAGAAAGAAAAATAGAATGCTTTGTCAATATGTATCGATTGGCTCTACTTATAGAGTTCAAGACATCTGGATTGTTTGAAATCTAAAAACCAATTGGAGTTGTAAAGTAACTATTTCAATGTGAACAATTAGTTACATCAACTAGTTATATACAAAATAGAGAATATTTTTCGCGTATTGGAAAATAAATTCTTTGGAAAAGATATACAGAATACAGTACTTAAAGCACTAAAGTCACAAAAGGAATGAAATAATAATAATCTTTATAATTTAACAACAGAACTCAAAACACATTTAGAAAATATAACACTGTTATGTAAACCTTCATTAGGGTTGGACTCAACTCGTCAACACGCTTCATCTGGGTGTTCATGCGAAATCTGTTTTATATGAGTTGACAATACTCAATGTAAGACCTTAATTTCATATGAGCGCAGTGCTGAAGCTTGCAGAAAAGCGAGGTCTAACAATTAGTTATTTATACTTGCGGCGTCTGCATTAAACACAAGGTTGTATCGCAGAGACCGTATTACATTTACTATTGACACGTGGATTTAACACAATGTTCTTTAATTGAATAGATATGTAAGGGGAAGATATAATACAAATATTTCCCGCTTGGTCGACTGGTATGGGATTATGTACAATATAGGGCAGACGATGTGGCGTCTAAACGATCTACCATCGTCAAGGCTAAATGGTTTCAAGCTGGAGAACTGATATCTACTTGGGAAATATTAAATAAGGTGTAAGTTTTTTAGACAGTTCTCTCACGGTGACACCTCACACGCAGACATTCGACATTGCGCCTTTAGTTACGCATAAACTTATGGTCGTCTACAGCACCACTCATTGCTTTCACGCGTGTACGCAATGGTTGTATGTGGTATCACAGTGTGAGATTTACCTCACTATTACATCGTACCAAACACGATGGTCGTCTGTGAGCAAAGTTAATCGAAGTTAATTTTATATTAGATTAGATAGTCTTGAATAAAACCTACTTATAGTTTACTTATATAATTATAAAATAACATTAAAAGTGAAACATTTTGACTACATAAGCGATAGAATACAATTTTGTCTACGTACATATCATAAACTCTCTATAATGTGTTCAAAAACCACAAATTACGACCAGCATAAAGGTAAACTGTATTGTCAGAACAAATTTCTTATCTGTGAAAATGTTATTATTGCTTCATACTAACATCGAATTCGATGTTATTATTACATTCAAATTTCGAACATCTCTGAAAAACAAAACAATTTGATTGGACATCAATTCTAATATCAGTCGAGATGAAGTTTTATTCGAAATGAAATGTCAATAGCAAACAATTTTGACAATTTCACACTTTACTTGATATCGAACGATACCGATGGCCGATTCTAGTTTGTCTATGAATTAAAAAAAAAAACTACGGTTGTTTAAAAACGTAAGAAAAGTTTTTATTTGCCGCCATTTCGCCAGTCGTAACATACGGTGCCTGAACACATCACAGAGAGCTTATAATATGTGTGGAGATAAAGCAGTGTATATAACTGTACATAATTAGGCAATAAAACACTCGTGAGATGTTTTTATGAAACTCGCCTGTCGGCTCGTTTCATAAACCCTCACTTGTCTTTTAATGTCTTTCATTATGTAACAGTCACATAAACTACTATTATCATCATGATCATTAATCCACTTATATGGTCTCCTCTCAGTCAAGGGTTTAGGTCATAGGTTCCCAAACTTTTTGGCTCATCGTTCACTTAGGCATGATAAAAAAATTTTAACGCCCATCACAACAAAAAATTATTAAAAACACGTATTTTTTGTATTAACACGAAAAGTCACAAGGAAACAAATTAGTGTAGTTTATAATATAGACGATTAACATTTTTTTTCAAATGCGGTAGGACCCCTAGGACCCTCAGCGCCCACTGGCGGGCGGTAGGGAACACTTTGGAAAACTATGGTTTAGATTATAATCCGCCACGCTAGCTCAATGCGGGTTGGGGACTTCACACATTTTCCGAGGGTTATGAACCTTCTTCGACATGCAAGCTCATGGTCATGGTAAAATTCAAATTAAATTTCGCACATAAATTTCGAGAAATTCTGAGATACGCACCCGGATTCGAACTCATGGCCTCCGCTTGGGAGATTACGACAGCTTTTGATACAATTTATATTACGAAAACAGATATGTATGACTTAATTGAACTAATATTTTTATATATTATAGCCGTGCAGGACTTATCCAAATTGGGGACTTCACATTTCTATAAAGGGTTGATCACGACACGCAGGTTCATCCCGACGTTAGGCTTAAAACCGTGAAAGAGACGCATTCCTGGTATACGAACGAATATGGTGTAATGCACTGCAATATTCCATACAGTTTAATATTCATTTACAGAATTAGCGAAACTTACTTTATTATACGATTTTTTTAAATGGTTCCAAGTGACGGGACAAACAAATCGTGTGCCTGGCGGTAAGCGACACGCCTGTCCATAGCAGATGCAGTGACACTCAAAGCTTTAAATCGCAATAATCTGAGGGGTACTGCCACTGCGCCCATCATCCTGAGACATAAATTAATACGTTCCATGTGCCTGTAATTTTACTAGGACCCTTGTTCTTCCAAATCGGAACGCAATAAAGCTTACATTACTGCTTGGCGGCAGTAATAGGTCAGTTAGCAGTTCCCTGGACAAACTCTTTCACAAGGAGCTCTACTACTACTAAAATTTCTTAGATATAAACTATGTCAAAGAAATTAAAAGGGTCGTTCTACACAATTCATATCGACTATCAATTAACGTATTGGCATTGATGTACGTATCGTGAGAAATAAAAACGGTTTTAGTGACAATTGTAGAACACATTACTGGGTAGACAAATATAGCAAAATGTTTTTCTTATCTAAAACATAAAAACAAAACAGACAAATATGGTAAAATTTACGGTCGTCGAGCGTACAAAAGGTTGTGTAAGGTTGCAAGGTTGCGTGATAAGGCACTGATTAATGTCCGTAATTCCCATTAAATGTAATTTTTATTTCGTCCTAAATATAACTTTATACTTGAGTAGTCTCCCAACAACTACAAACGTTAATAAGTACGCACTTTCGGCGTATTAGAGTGTTTATTAGTGAGTAACTTGCGATTTATGGAATCATAAAAAATTTAATCAAGAAAAGTACGTACACTGCTCCTGGAATCACAACTTGTCACGCGTCAAACGCTCCTTAACTTTTAAATGAACTTTTTAATCACACAGACTCACACAAGTTTTTATTTGCACTTTAAAAAATAGTGTTTACGTGAGGCAAAGGCGGACACTCGTTTGGCGGTCGCACTACGACGGCGGTATAAGGCAGACTGGAGCGTTTCTCCCTCAATCCAGCTGGCTGGCGTTGCCGCGCCACCGTACATGCGCACTTACAATCCTTTCCTATGCCATTGCAAATTTACGCGTCTGTAAATGCTGCTCTCCCGCATTAGCTCGAAATAAACCTTTTTAAGAATAGTGTAGAGATGGCTTTACTATTAAGATCCTGCTTTGAGAACTCTATCATTCGTGTAATTTTGGATTTTATATCGTAGGGTTTTCGCTGTGGATACTTTTTTATTCTGGCGAGATTTCTTTCTGTATTTTATTTCGGTTTTCTTTCTGTATATTATTGCCCGTTCTTTGCCAACAATATTTTTTTTTTGACTTCTACTTAACGAAAGTATATTTAAGATATTTGTCTCTCGTAATGTAATCACACATTTAAACGAAGCTCTTTGAAATGTTAATCTCTTATAGGAATTCTTTAACACTTCGCAGATAAGAAGTTCGGCTGCAAGTTAAACTCTGAGATTAAAATGTGCCTCGGTATTCGTCTAGGTATTTTTATTCATAGTTTTGTATACTTTTTTTTATGATACCAAGTGACGGGACGAACAAGTCGTGCGTCTGGTGCTAAGCGACATGCCTATGTCCATAATAGTTGCAGTGTCACTCAGAGCTTCAAAAAAACAAATCCCAAAGATCTGAGGGGCACTCCCACTGCGCCCGTTACTTTGAGACATAAGTTAACAAGTCCTATGTGCCTATAATTTCACCGGCAACCTTTCCTTTCAAAATCGGAACGCAGTAATGCTCACATTTCTACTTGACGGCAGAAATAGGTAAGGTGGGTTTACTGGCCCCTTCATTTAATCTATCTTGGTGGCTGCATTGTTGGTACTCAACTAGTTGGTAGTTTATTTCTAAATTGCATTTAATTGCTTAAAGTGTATTTTTGCCAGCTCTCTATGGTGTAGTTCGCCTTATAGAGAACTATAAAAACGCCTAGACGGAATGATTCTCATCCCTTGGAGTATGGACAAGGCACTGGCGTGTGACGCCATGTTTGCCGACACACTTGCCCCATCCCATTTCCAGCACACTCGCAAGAGGGCTGGCTCCGCAGCTGCTTAACAAAGCCATACAATGAGATAACGCTACCAGCATCTTGGGCACTTTGCCGTAACCCAATTTTACTCATATAATTTAATCCTAATTTTAGTTTCTATTTAAATTTAAACTTATTGTCTAATAAATAAGAAACGAACATAACACCTGTTTACAACGACATAGGTCATGAAATAATTCAGTTTTCAAAAACTGAGTAAGTCTATTATGAATGACTACTCAAGAAAAATTGTAGACTATATTCGCGCTGGTGAAACATCGCATTGTCGTAGTACATAGCGAATTATTGGTACAAATCAAGTTCCTGCAATTTAAACCCTTTGGGACATCTTTGCACCCCTTCAAAATTGGTCCTTCAGAAAAAATTAAAGCCATATTTTCCATGGTAACCCTAAAGCGCAGGCCCGAAGCAGTTATAGAACCCGGAAAATCTTGCTTACGATGTAAATTTTCTCAGCACAGATCTACCAAAATTATTTTCCATAAAATAAGGTAATAAAGAGATCATTTAATTTATTAACATTTAGAGATTTTATTATCCTGACGTAATAATTTTCATGAATATAATCAATAATACAATAAAATTTACCATCCTATCCCATAAAGGTTTATGTTTATTGATAGTAACGATCGTTCTTATTATCTAGTTGTTATGAGTCATAAAAATTGTCTCGACACCACTGAGTTGACGACAGTGATGTCTTAAATTTTATGAGTACTTTAATATAATATTCGTACAACCTTTAGAAATACGTTCTTTTAAAATCCAAAATAGCAAAATTTTAAATTATTAACCTACCGTAATGCATTGCATGACCAAAATAAAAATTGTCTTTATTTGATCTGCTGCTTACGTTTTTGCCAGACTTGCAGTTTATTGTAGCCATTGTAGACGTACAAATATATATATAAAATTTATAATAAAAAGCGCATCGAGGACTTAGATTTCGCGATTGTTATAAATTAGAAATTAAACCGTTTTTCGGTTCTAAATCGCGTTTATAAAATATATTTTTATTATTAAAATAATTGATAAAAACATAATTCGTCGCTTCGAGAATTTTGATAGGAGTCATGATGGAACGAACCAACGTAAGAATAATGAAGAAAGGCATTCGAGAACGATTAAAATTTTTAAAAGCAATTGACCAGGAACCATTAAAGAGGGTGATAAAAAAGTGGGAGGACGATGAAGGAAGTCGCATCCCAGTGGCCACGAAATTAACATTAGACTCTAGCCGCAACGCTTAGACTAGAACCAATTTGAAAAAGTTTTGTATACGGAACTGAACCTGGGACCACGGCATATTGCCCACATTACTAGCTGTTGGACCACTGGGATCGTCTTAAGGCTTACATTGTAACACACAGTCAAACAAAAGGTTACAAACAATGTATGTAATAACTACGTACATAAAGTTGTAAAATGATGATTGATAAATTAAAACTTAAAAAAATTAAATGTAAAAAATACGGAAGTACTTAGCTTACTAGTAGTTAGGAAACTAAAGTTTGTTCGTCATTTGTAGGGTATATGTTTACGTATACGTTGTACGGACTGTGTACGTTTTTATAACAAAATTCCAGAAAATGTACAAAATTGACCAGAAAAAAGTTCAAAGCTCATAGGAAATGAAACTATTTTTCCGGATTTAAATCGCGTATATTTGTTTTTTCAAACAAACCGACGTTTCGGGCCCTTTACAGGTCCCATGGTCACGGTTGACGGTCAAAGCTCATGTTAGAAATGTACCGTATAGTAATGTATTAAGAAAAGCTAATTATACAATCAATGGTCACATGAATGAGTCGAACGCATGGTGTACTAAATATGTGTGATGATCCAAAAAAAATCATTCTTCTCAGATAAATTTTTACGAAGGAATAGTGGTTTTTAAATTGATGTGACGATTTCAAGTCTAATTTGATTGATACAAAATAAATATATTTGATTTAATTTCATGTCTCATGACCAACAATTACAAAGCAACCAACAGCAGCAGCAGTTGGTCAGTTCCCATGATTTGAAGATTTAATAGTATATAACCAATCCAATTAACGTGCTTTGATGACACGAGTAAATATTGTTTTTAATAGATAAGGTTATGGAACAGCGAGAAATAGTCAGCTTTCGATATAATAAAACAAGTGCCATTAACCAAAGTAAGGAAATCACAAAGGAAAACAATTCAAAATACTTCGTTTACCACAATGGATCTATCGAAGCCTCACAGCAACACCCACGTCGTCATCAGTTATTTTATTTACAAATGAATCGAACAATTATACTTCACTGTACAAAAAAAGAAAAAGTAATAATTTTATCACGCATCTATTTATCTGAACAGGCGCTTAGTATAAAAATTATCAAGACAAATATTTTTTTAATTATCAGATATGCACCTGGTAATTATCCATGCTGATTTTTTTTTGCTAATGAATGGCTTGTGAGACTAGTGGTTTCAATTCTGCCAGTGTCCGTCCAAAAATCTGTATAGAAAATTTGTTCGGTGACTCAGAGATTCATAGTTTTGACTGACAAAGAAAGGACAAATAATGAGAAAACGATTCGGTTTGTGACTTTGACGTTTTACACATTTGAATACGCCTTTGATACAAAAACATGGTACAACATTGCTAGCGGTAGCATTTTGTACCGATTAATTTTATAAATATCAATAAAATTACAAAGTATATTTATCAAGATAACCATCATGATAATTATCATGATATTATCATGGCTAATCATCACTTCGAAGCCTGATAAAAATAACTGATATTAAATAGTATTTTATCAACTCATGCCTCACCGCGGCTATTTTCAGCACTAAGTGAAGCTGTTGAGGGCGATATTAATCTGTTTGCGAGATGTCGTGATATGTTACCTGACTACCTGGTAATACAGATAGACTACCTTGGATTTAAAATGGCGTCTAAAAAGCGGGGATAGAAACAACAAAGTGGTTCAACTAGAGTGTGGTATCATGTGACAGGATGGCTTGGTTAACTTGCAAATAAAAGTCAATGACTGTCACGTAGAAAACTGAACCCTTGGTGCGCGATTACTAACCTCGCACTTAACCAGTATTATTTAATATTCAATTATTAATACAATAAAGAAGTTAAGCTGAAATAGACAGAATCAATGTGCCATTGTCGTTATACCTCGACTCTGCATACAGAAATATCTCATTCAGAACCTAATTGTGATGCACTCAGCTCTTCGAATTAATTCCACTACAGTGACATTAAGTGGGTTAAAGCTAAGATAATACCGGTGGATCTACTTTGTGCATCTTCGACGAGTGGTTTTTTATTTAATTCATTATATATATTCGTGGTCAAACGAAAATAGCGTTCCGAAATTCAGGCCACTTTGGAATGTAATAAAATATTTTTAGTGTTAGATTCACTTTACAAACTTTTCAAACAAAATCCTAAGGTTCTAATTTTAAACCTTTGACATCACTCATTTGTTTTCATTTTGTTAACATTTGAAATAAACCACGAACACTAAAACACGTGTAATTTGAAAATTCAAAACTTTAACTACTATTATAGAGACTAATGAACACAGTGCACGTTTTTGGTTTACTCGATTCCGCAGTGGAAATTTCAACTTCGCAAATGAGCCTCGTGAATGATCTGAACACAGGAATTAACAGCATTACTTGATTATCCACAACACAGACCCATTTGCATTTAATCAAATAAAAATTATAAAAACTAGAAAAATATGTCTCACACCTTTATTCAAAATCTCACACGAATTATAGCAGAAACACGTCTCTAACTTATTTGAAATGAAATCATCATTAACCCGTCCCATTGCTGGACACGGGATGCGGGTTGGCGACCTCCCACGTTTTCCGAGGGTTGTGAACCTTCTTTGATGTGCAGGTT